AGATCGAATGCAATTTGCAGTTGCCGAAAACATGGCGCGGCGCTGTCGACGTTCGATGCCATGATTGCGTTAATGATTTATCGAAATGATTGATTTATCGAAATTATATATACGTATAATAATCACTCTGTATACGCTTTGTGCCAATGTATACGCTTTTGGAACAATGACGAGTAATTATGGTATTCATCGATTTATTATTTATACAGCTAAATTGATTCGAACCGAATTGAAGATTACAAGTATACTTTCGGATGGTAATAGTGAAACGTCGACGCGCTGGTTACTAATTCAAATCGACCATTATGGATTTTCAAAACTGCAATGCCCAGTTTCATTATCCGCCATAGAATCTGTTGAAGGTTCGAATGAATAGCGAACCCTTTGATGTCGAATCACCATATCCGAAATAGAATTTTGTCGGTATATATATATAGGGTGTTCGGAAAATCGTGGTAAAACCGGTGAGGGAGTGATTCTACATGCAAAAATAAGTCGAGAAAGAGGAATAATATTTTTTTTGTTATTTAAGGCTTCGTTTTCGAGCAAAATTAGCTTAAAATAGTAATACTATTGAATAGGAATCACGTGGTGTGTCGTCTGGTCATGATATACCAATTTTACTTCTCGTCATATTACAAGCCACGCGAATTTCTCGCATCTTTCAACTCAATTTTCTCGAAAATGGAGCTTTAAATTAAATAATGTTATTCCTCTTTCTCGACTTATTTTTGCATGTAGAATCACCCTATTGCCGGTTCTACCACGATTTTTCGAACACCCTGTATATACAGGGTGTCCCGAAAATGTCTCGCAATTCGGAAATGAGAGGTTCCTGAGGTCATTTGTAGCAACTTTTTCCTTTGCGAACATTTTCTCCGAGGCTTCGTTTACGAGTTATTAACGAAAAACGCTGACCAATAAGAGGCGAGCGCGGTTGGCGCGCGGCGGCCAAGCCAACGAGTGCGCGGAGCCCAGTTCCCGTCATTGGCTCGGCCGTCTCGCGCCAAACGATCTCGCCTCTGATTGGTCACTGTTTTTCGTTAATAACTCGTAAACGAAGCCGCGGATCGCATTTTTGCTAAGGAAAAAGTTGCTTCAAATCACCTCAGGAATCCCCTATTTTCGGATTGCGAGACATTTTTGGGACACCCTGTACAACGTTTTACAGCATTATTATTTATTAATTAAGGGGGTAATCTAATCTAAAGGTTTATTTAGTCTATATGGTCTATTTGAGATTTCTTTTTAAGAACCATATCGTGGCATGTGGCCCTCGAATTGCCTACGAATCATGGCAAAAAATATAAATAAAAAAATTAAGACATCGTTTTTATTCTAGCATTACTATGAATTTATATCATCGTACATCGGCATGTTGATCTCCGAACATTTCTGTGACTTCATTTTCTGTACTTTCAGAAAATGAAATAAAAAAAAAGATTGACTTTTTGAAGATCCTAGACTAGAAAACCCCCTCGAGGATGCTTAGTCTCTCCGATCTTATATGAGGGAGGGGGAATATGCAGACCTAAATTTCACAATTTCTCGACACGATCGCGCATATATCTTTCAGCCTGAACGTTCAATAAACTCTCGAGCATTAAGTGATCAATAGACGAGGCCACGTCGCCGAGAGGAGAAAACGTTAAAAATCGCGATTACCGGCAGACAGAAGATACGTATTCGCTCGTCGAGTCAGGGCACAAGTGTCGCCGAGGACGTTTGCAGGCCCCGGAGCACGTGTTAATTGGCTATCGAGCGCAAGCTTAGCGCGTGGCTGGTGGAAAGTGGCAGAGAAATATTCATGGGTCGATGGAGGTTGCGGAAGTGCGGGGTCTATTGACGGACGGAGACAAAGTGCCGGCTTAAATCAGCCCGAAGGTAGCGTCGAAGGAAGCGGCACACATCGCGGCCCGAATAACCCTAACTCACGAAACTTGGACCACATTGATCTGCGACTCATTAGCGTTGGAGATGTGACTCGGTAATAATTAATCCGGTCTGGAAAGTTCGGCTACGTTTCGCGGGGATCTCGTCGGATCATTCGATCCCTTCCAAACGGCGCGTCTCGTTCGGAAGACTCGCGAAATGTTTGCCGCTTAAAAAAACGCTGTCTGTTTCGCAAGGAATTTCGCGGATAAACGGCGATTCGAATCCTCGTTTAAGGTTCACAGGGTGAATTCTTCAAAGGCGTGCTCGAAAGGTATAGCAGCAGGTATGCGGCAAGGAGCATGCAGTAATGTCTCTCTAATTGACGCTTAGATTGTCCACAAAAATGGACAATTTAGGAAGAGGAGATACGATTATTCGAGCCTTGCGGCACGTTTCTATAATTATTGACAATCGAGAACCATAAAAAACGAGCCTCAAGGCTCGAATAATCGTATCTCCTCTTCCCGAATTGTCCATTTCTATGAACAAACTGAGCCTCAATTAGAGAGACATTACTGTATGCGACCGCGTGTCAGAATTGCTTCAACAAATTTCGTTCCGAATATTTTTCACTTAAAGATGACCAACGTTCTGATCGATCTTCTGAAGTTGACGATGACAAAATCAAAGCCATAATTGAATCGAATCGTCATATAACTGTACGAGAGATTGCGAAAAGGTTAAATGCATCGCACACAACAAGTGAATATCGCATAAGATGTCTTGGACTTGTTAAGAAGCTCGATGTTTGGATTCCGCGTGAATCGAAAGAAATTCGCTTAACGCAACGAATCGGTATTTGCGATACGCGTTTTAAACGTAACGCAATCGACCCTTTTTGAAACGGATTATCACCGGTGATGAAAAATTGATCGTTTACGATAACATTAATCGGAAAAGGTCATGGTTCATGCGCGATGAACCAGCACAAACCATATCGAAAGCTGAATTGCATCAGAAAAAGATCATGTTGTCAATTCGGTGGGACTATAAAGGTGTTGTGTATTTTGAGCTGCTTCCAAGCAACCGAACGATCAACCCAGATATTCACTGCCAACAACTTATGAAATTGGAGGAAGCAATCAAAGTGAAAAGGCCAGAATTGGCAAATCGCGAAGAAATCGTGTTCCGCCACGACAATGCGAGGCCTCGCACATCTTTAGCAACGCGTACAAAATTATTGGAGCTTGGTTGGGAAGCGATGTCGCATCCTCCATATAGCCGCGACCTTGCACCATCGGATTATCATTCATTTCGAAGTTCACAAAACTTTTCAAACGGTAAAAATTTCAATAAGCAGCGAATCGCACTTAATTGAATTTTTTCCTGATAAGGACCAGAAGTTTTACGAGCGCGGAATCACGAAGTTACCAGAAAGTTGGCGAAAGGTCATCGAACAGAATGGAAAATATTTGACCCATTTCTTGTATAGCAAAAATCGAGTTTTATTTCACATTGAAATACCGAAATTACTTTCCTGCCAACCGAATAAATCCTGGCTACAAATCAAAGGTGCGGAAGGGCCCTTGGTTCTCGTTCGACGTTTCGAGGGAGCGGCTCGGATCGAGTGGAATCGAAGGAAAGGAAGCTGAAGACGATTAACTGGGAGGTACCGACGCGTTCGGGGCCCAACGGAAACCGGCGCGGCGGCTTTCGTGCAGCATCGCGTGTCCGCTTTCAGCCCTGTAATCTCGCTTCCTTGGCTGCTTATTAAGCGCGGTATTAGGTAACGAAAATGGCGTGTGAGATGCCCCGGAGTTAATGGAGAGCGTCGCAAACGTTCGTCGAACGATCTCCGACCGGCGGGCTGGGCTCTTGTAGAATTCCCGACCGAGTCGAAGTGTCTGTCACTTGCCGGACGGGTTCTATAGAATCTGATTAGACCTGGCCGACAGCGATCGATTCGACGCTATCAAATTGCTAATAGCAGGAACAAACAGAGTCGGTTTATATACCAGACCGTGTTCAATCGCCGCCAGGGAAACAAATGAAATAGGCTGGCTTTCGTCAGATAGAACTGATGGTAATCGCGGTAGTAATTGGAGAGATAGAACCGAATGTTTGACGGTATCAACAAGTATTACAATAGATTTGCTCGGTCTGTGTCGGTATTTTACGTGCCTTTGGTTCGGTCAGGTGGAATAGCGAAGCTTCGATCATGCAATAACAACGCAAATTCGTTGTTATTCATACTGCATTTACGACAAGAATGAGTAGACGAAATTTGAAAAAATGAAAAGATTATAAGAGTTAAAGAGTATCAGTAATACAGTAAATTCTCCTTAGAATGCCAAATTTCGGGTTGGTGTGAATTTCCCTGTGCCACAGTAAATTCTCCTTAGAATGCCAAATTTCGGGTTGCTGTGAATTTCCCTGTCCTACAGTAAATTCTCCTTCGAATGCCAATTTTCGGGTTGCTGCGAATTTCCTTGTGCTACAGTAAATTCTCCTTAGAATGCCCAATTTCGGGTTGCTGTGAATTTCCCAGTGTTACAGTAAATTCTCCTTAGAATGCCAAATTTCGGGTTGCAGTGAATTTTGCTTTGCTATTGTAATTCTCCCTAATTGTCACTCAGATTCTGTATAAAAACGGACAATTTGGGAAGAGGAGATACGATTATTCGTATCTTTATATTTGTCGACAATCGGTGACTATAAAAACGAGCCGTGGAGCTTGCAAATCCGACAGCGACTCGAACGATAAAACGGATATTTTTCGCGATCTTCGAGGATCAAGTAGACTCAGCCAGCATCGATCAGACGAATTGAGTAAAATTGTTCCGAATCGGTCGAACGAAATATCACCGTCGCGATGGACACGCTGTTTATGATCTGCTAATTCCGAGTAATTCGAGCTCGCTCGCGTCCGAGTGAACAAGGGGAATCGATCGGTGATTGGTCAGACAGGGAATACAGACGTTTCCATCGATCGCGTAGCGTACGCTTCGTTTAATGGCAGTTTCGCGAGTTAACGTCGAGATGGATGGCCACTGGCCGATCCACGTAATTAAAGGGAAATGGATAGAGCCAGCCAGGTGATAAGAAAAACATGAGAGTTCACTTACCGGAGAACAATTCCAGGAACTCCTCCACGCCGTACGAGCCGGTGAACCTGTACGACGAGTCGTTCACGGCTGCTTCGCTGTGCACTTTCACTCGTTTTATCATGAAGCTTATGTTGTCCGGCTGGCCGTCCTGATTGAAGTCTGCAAAATGCACGGGAGATCGTGTTATGCCACGTTTGCGTACGTTATTGCCGCGCTGTTGGCGGAGTTATTGGGCTGGCAAGAAAGTAATTTCGGTGTTTCAATGTGAAATAAATAATCAATTTTTTCCATAGAAGAAATGAGTTTTAGTCGGTCAAATATTTTCCATTCTTTTCGATGACCTTCTGCCATCTTTTTGGTAAGTTCATGATTCCGTGCTCAGAAAACTTCTGGTTCTAACTTAGTAAATAACTCAATCAAGTGCGATTCGTGGCTGTCGTTATTATTGAAATTTTTACCGTTTAAAAAGTTTTGTAAATCAATGATAATTCGCAAGGTTGGGGCTATACAGGGTGTCCCAAAAATGTCTCGCAATCCGAAAGTGGCGGGTTCTTCAGGTCATTTGGAGCAACTTTTTCCTTTACAAAAATTGTCTCCGAGGCACCATTAACGAGTTATTAACGAAAAACAGTGACCAATGAGAGGCGAGCTAGGCTGGCGCGAGGCGATCGAGCCAATGAGCGGAACTGGGCTTCGCGCGCTGGTTGGCTGGGCCGCCTCGCGTCAGCCGTACTCGATGCTTATTGGTCACTGTGTTTTCGTTAATAACTCGTTAACGGTGCCTCGGAGAAAATTTTTGTAAAGCAAGAAGCTGTTTCAAATGATCCGAGGAACCCGTCATTTCCGGATTGCGAGACATTTTTGGGACACCCTGTATAGTCAACTACCAAAGTTGAAGACAAAAAAATGATAACCTTAACAAAAGTATGACAATGCAAACGTAACGCCGTTTATCGATGCAAATAGAAATTACTTTCTCGCCAACCCCGATATAATTCTCGCGGAATCGGAAATCTGGAAATGCCGGTTGTTTCGCGAATTGCGATTCGGGGAGAGAGTGTTTTGGCGCAGGACGGGCGGCCACATGCATCGATGCCGCGGAATTCCTGGGATTCGAGGGGAACTACTCGGCCGGGGAACCGATGGCTGATAACGAAAATCACTGGGCCTCCAGACGAGTAATTTTCGGGTTCCCTCAGTGATCAGCCCGTATCCCCGAACGGATCGGATCGGCCATCGCGTGGCGGAGGGCATTTAATCAAACACCTTCTCCGCGGGAATACCAATCGAAGCTGGAAAAACGGCGGCGTGACACGCGAACACGATTCCTTCCCATCGGCGAATTTATGCGGCTGCAACGTTGATCTCGTGACTTTTCGAAACGCAAAAACCACCTACCGTGCTCCCTATAAATACACCGGGCTCGATCCCGTTCGACGCTAACAGCCTGGATCAAAATATTAAGCCATAAACTGTTCTTGTTCACGATGCTTCTACCGGAACGAAAGCTCAATCATCTGGTACATTTTAGACGATCCCGTGAAATCCCTCGCAATGATATTCGGGAAACCTTTCAGGAGTTATAATTGTTGTTAAGAACATTTAGTACCACAAAACAGATATATTGGAACATATTCGTACACTCCTCAACAAAAGTATTGGAATACTTACAGAAAATGAAATAATGAAAATGAAATATCAAAATCCGATAGGAAATTGTAATAATTTTTAAACATTTATTTAGTTGATTTCGTTGATTATATTAAACTGTAACAAGTACTTGTATACAGGGTGAGTCACAAGTGTTCCCACGGTGACGTTGTTCTTTTCTTTTTTATCGAAAATCAATTTGTTCTCAAGTTTAAACAATTGCAATTTCTTGTCGGTTAAATATTAATTAACTTTGGATAGGAAACATCTTTTTGACTCATTTGTGATTCACCCTGTACATATTTTATGTTGTAGTAAAAATAACGTCACTTTTATAAAAAAAAATGAATTTTTCGTTTCGTCGATATATCCACCGAGTTTTCTTTAATTACTTTTTGAATTAATTTTGAGCATTCGTTTCGTCAGTTTTTCTATTATTTCTGATAGGTTTTGGTTCCATGCGTTTCGTCATATTTTCCACGTATTAAAAAGAGATATCGGGAATCGATGCGTGTCATACCGAGCGAAGAGTAGGAAATGAACTCGAGATACTTTTTCAATGAACGAAGTGCACTAAATGGATAAACTAATTGCACAAGTGACAAACACTTATAACTTAATATGTAGGGGAGATCGATGACGGTTGTAACACGATAACTATTTCAAAGTGTATGATAGATATTATTATTGTAATAATAATAAAATAATAATGTGTAATATATATATTACACATTATTACTCACAAACTTTTATATATATATACTATAATCAAACTTTTAGAAAGCCTCTTACAATAATTAGAAAAACTAATATAGGAACCATGGATATTTATTATGCATATATATATGTATATGTATAATAAATATCCATGGTTCCTATATTAGTTTTTCTAATTATTGTAAGAGGCTTTCTAAAAGTTTGATTACGATATTAAGTTATAGCAATTTTAAATTTATTAGTTCATCTAATAAATATAGGTATGTAATTATTTAAATTATAAGATGAAGAAAATTAGGAGTAGAAATCTCTTAACAATAGATTCAGCTTGTCGGTGTTACAATCGTCCCCGACCGCACTTTCAAATTTTAATTATAAATTGTCATTTATATAACATGCTTAGTAATGTAAAGTGACTATCAGTATTTATTTGGGACATGCGAAATTAGAGATTTAAAACAAGAAGGAAGAATATATTTGCTAAAAAAGCACTTGTATCACAATTTTAAAACAGTAAGGAAAGTTAGCTTTTAGCTATCCAAAAGCTATTTTCTTCCTTATGCAGATATATATTTCGTAAATGTCAGCTTACATTATACAGGGTATTTCAAAAATGTCTCTCAATCTGAAAACCAGCGGTTCCTGAGATCATTTGGAGTAACTTTTTCCTCAGCGAAAATGCAATCCGAGACTTCGTTTGCGAGTTATTAGCGAAAAACAGTGATCAATGAGCGATCGCGTACGGCCGACGCGCCGCCCTCGCGGCCACTGCCGCTGCGTCATACTGCCAGCGCGACGCGGCATTGGCTGTAACGACAGAGCGCCGGCCGCCCTCGCTCTCCGATTGGTCACCGTTTTTCGTTAATAACTCGCGAACGAAGCCTCGGATTGCATTTTCGCAAAGGAAAAAGTTACTCCAAATGACCTCAGGAACCCCCTATTTCCGATACATTTTTGAAACACCCTGTACGATACCATATTGCACCCTCACAGACTATAAATCTAAACCGAGCGAAATATTACAGTTTCTATCAAATAAGCAGGTGTCCTAATACTTTCGGAGGAGGGGGCGGGTGTGTGCATACTAAGCCAGGAAGTCAGGTCAGGAAGGAATTAAGATCGCAGCTGATAAATTCATTCTCGAGGAGAGAACTGCACGGTCGCCGTGCTAGCCCGATGCTTTCAAGCGGCGAATAATAACTGGAGCACGATTACGGAGCAGGCTGGCAATTAAGAATTAAAGCCGCCGTGAACGTAGCCCGCGCTGGAGGTTTTAGCGAGGCCCGTTTCCATAAGTGACTGGAGCCTCGGCGGCTCAAGATTGTCGGGCGCGCAAACATCGGCGGGGGCCGTCGTTACATTCGTATCTCGCGTGTAATGTAGGTGCAACGCCGGTAATTAACACCGGGTCCATTGTATCCAAGTTTAATGCCGCATTAATCAGCTTTGGAACGGGCTGGCGTCGTCGTCGCGGCGAAAACATCGGTACCTTCCGCGGAGAACTTCGGGCTCCCTCTCTCTCTCCTTCTCCCTCTCTCTCCACTTGCACGCTAAATAATGCAAATAGAGCGGCCGGAAGTGGGCGAAGTACCGGAGGCAGGGGCTAAGGAAGTTCAAGGTACCGGTGCTCGGAACGTGTATTGACACGGCGAAGTACCCGTACATATGCTCGCGTGGATCCGCTACATGATTTAAGACTACCGCCCGCGCAAACAAATGGCTTTCTGTGCAAACTTTAATTAAAATCCATGCTTCTGCCGAATGGAACGTCCCCCGACAGGCTGCCGAGTGAATTCAGCGACGGTCCCTGCCAGCACAATCGGGATGCTAACTGGAATCTCGAGGAAACGAGCGAAACAGATTCGGTGTTTGCCGAGCAAGTGGAAAGGGTGATACGTGATCACAGACGAGGGAGGCACAGTAAATTCTCGCCCAATCGTCGCACAGCTTGTACATAAAAATGGATATCGTGGGAAGAGGAGATATAATTGTTCGAGCCTCGTGGCTCACTTTCGAACCAATGGTTCGAGCAGCTTGGGACTTGAATTTTTGGAGTTTTCTCAATAAAATCTACGGGAATATACATAAAAGAACCAAAAATCTCTGGACCCCTACAGTAAAGTTTTACCCTAGAAAATATTCCAACGCATTTCTGTTTGACACTCTGATAAGAAAATTATCATAAATTTATTGTTTGTCTATTTTATTTTTATGTTTCTCCGAACATTTGGTTTCTTCCATCGCGATAATTCTTACACATTGCTACAACTGGGTCTGCCTATTTTCTTTCTTATTCCACTGGTCGGCTTGCATAGAATTTCATTTCTACTCGTTTGTTGTTGCAGTACTAGTATTTGTAGTTATCGAGGATTGAGGCAAACTTTACTTTAAGGGTTCAGAGATTTTTTACTCTTTTATGTATATTCCCGTAGATTTTGTCGGGAAGACGCAAAAAATTCAGGTCTCAAGGTGCGGAAATCGTTGGTTAAAAAGCTATACGCGTTCAAAGTTGACGTTTTTCAAGCATTTTTTTGACATGTTAACCGCTGGGTGATAACAAAAATATCAAAAAAATTGCTACCAAGAGCCGTTAAATAGCAGCACAAGCATAGGTAGGTTGCCATTTTGGTACCACAATTCGAATGCCCCTTATTTTATTGGGCTAATGTATACTTTAAGAATTAGGGTTAGTTTGCGTCAAATTTGAACACGCATAACTTTTGAACCAATGGTTTACGCACCTTGGGACCTGAATTTTTGGAGTTTCCACGATGAAATCTACAGGAATATAT